TGCGTTTTAAAATCTTGTGTAAGAAACTAAACCAACCCCCCGAATGGTGGGTTAAAACACTTGACCAACCCCCCTTCGGGGGAGTTGGTTGCGTTTTAAAATCTTGAGTAAGACACTAAACTAACCCCGATTATTGTCTTACTCAAGTTATTTGTTTACTCGGCATTGTTGTACCAACACAACAATGCCGAGTAAACAAATATAACGTAATATTTTTGATGACGTCATTTTTTGACGACAACGGGGAATCAGAAATTGTTTTCTTACATTGTCAGACACGCAGATGTTCATATAAAAGCTGACCATTGCCGTTCGATACTTACATTGTTGGTAGTTGAAAATAATACAAAGAGAATTACCCTATTTTATAATTTCGTTACATTCCATTCTTCCTGTAAAAAGTCAACAATTAATATTAAATGTGTTCTCTATAAGAAGGAAATAAATTTAAAAATAATAAGAAAAGGCACGAAGAAAACATCGCAATTTCATTTGCCTTTACTTATAAATGTCAGCTTTTTATTATACTTGATTAATTTTAAAGGTGATTTTTTAGGGGCCCGGGCCCCCGAGAGAAAAATTGTTTCTTTCTTCGAATCCCGGCAAACATGTTTTCTGTTGTTCGGATAGTGACCACTAGGGAAGAATGGTGCTAAGGCAAATTCTGTCTTTTTCCTCGGAAATGATTCGACTGACTAAGGTCACAAGTCCGAAAACTGTCCTGAGTTCCAGAAGATGAATTTGTAAGAAACTGTCGTATTTCCCGTTAGTCACAGGTGAAGTAGATAATTGCGGGTTGACGTGTATGTCTGCTCGTTTGCTCACGGCTCGTGAACGAAAAAACCTGCGTGCTCTTACCCTGGCGAGATTTTTCCTTAAGACTCATAACAGAACACACCATATCAAATCTAAAACTTCTTGACGATGGTGAAGAGTCATTTGAATAAAAATTTCCTTGGATATTATCCATTGTCTAGTAAAATATAAAATATAAAACGTAAAACGACGTTTCGGAGATGGGTCATATCAAATCTAGCTGCATCTAGTGGGCCCAACTGTGTAGGAACCTGAAGACGGAGATAGAGTCCCATCTCCGAAACGTCGTTTTACGTTTTATATTTTATATTTTACTAGACAATGGATAATATCCAAGGAAATTTTTATTCAAAGAACACACCATATTTCACTGCTTTCACTGAGTGCTGATTTTGAGGCAATATTGTGTAAACGCAATTTCGTATCGATTGTCATGTTTGCCAAAATGTCTTATAATAAAACCATTGGTCTTATTATATTTCTATAATTTGACATCTGTATCATTTTTGTGGTCTGAGAATGTATTTCCCAAGTATGTAAAATAAAAAAAATTGCCCTACTATTTTCCTGTATATACAGGGGAGTTCAAAAGGTTAGGGCCAAACTGAAGGAGCGTATAGAGGGACTCAGAGAGAACAACTTTTGAATAGGAATCCATGTCCTCCGAAGTTATCCTGAGTCAGTCGAGGCCATTGAAGGTAGGGACGTCTGATAACATACCGCTGGAATAATCGTATTTGCTATTCTCCTACTAGCTTAATTTTGTTTTTTATTAATGTACATTAGCAATCTTACAAACCAAATTATATTGGTCCAACTTTTTTGTTCCCTTGAGCCAATTCTCACTTTGAACCCATGTGTAAAGAATCTTCTCTTGGCATTAATTTTAAAAACAGACAGTTTTTGTTATCTGCAACAGAACTTACTCATAATCGACAAATTACTTCAGTATAGTTTAATATAGATTGTATTCAAATGTGCACATTTCATTGTAGAGTTACATATTATTTTAAGACTTCTCCTGTATCTGACAAGGTTGTTGTTTTGAAAACTTGCATTTTACAATAAGGTTTCAAAGTCTGGCGCTGTGTGGCATTCTTTGCGACGCAGATGCCTCGATTTACGTACTAGGAGAGTGGGGGAACTCGCGGACCGTTTACACGCAAGTACCCGACTATGATCCCTAACTGTATTCTATACACCCTCGCCGTGTAGATAACTTCATATATATATATATATATA